GTGATGGTATCATTGTCACCAGTGACAGTGTCGTTGTCACCACCGGTGATGACGGTGTCACTGTCACCGGTGACAGTGTCCTGGTTACCATCAGTGGTGATGGGGTCATTGTCGGTGGCGACAGTGTCATTGTCACCACCGGTGGTGACAGTGTCATTGTCACCGGTGACGGTGATGGTGTCACCACTGGCGGTGATGGTGTCATTGTCACCGGTGACTGTGTCATTGGCACCATCGGTGGTGACGGTGTCATTGTCACCAGTGACAGTGTCATTGTTACTGGTGACAGTGTCATTGTCACCACTGGCGGTGACGGTGTCGTTGTCACCATCGATGGCGATGGCGTCATTGTCGGTGGTGACAGTGTCATTGTCGCCACTGGTGGTGACTGTGTCTTGTCACCGGTGACGGTGTCGTTGTCACCAGCAGCTGTGACGGTGTCATTGTCACCGGTGATGGTGTCATTGTTACTGGTGACAGTGTCATTGTCACCACTGGCGGTGACGGTGTCATTATCACCGGTGATGCTGTCATGGTCACCGTTGGTGGTGACGCTGTCATTGTCACCGGTGACGGTGTCATTGTCACCAGCAGCTGTGACGGTGTCATTGTCACCGGTGATGGTGTCATGGTCACCGTCAGTGGTGATGGTGTCATTGTTGGTGGTGATGGTGTCGTTGTCACCACCAGCATTGATGGTGTCATTGTCACCGGTGACAGTGGCGTTGTCACCGTCGATGGTGACGGTGTCATTGTCACCGGTGACGGTGATGGTGTCACCGTCAATGGTGATGGTGTCATTGTCACCGGTGATGGTATCATTGTCACCACTGGCGGTGACGCTGTCATTGTCACCGGTGACGGTGTCATTGTTACTGGTGACATTGTCACCACTGGCGGTGACGGTGTCATTGTCACCGGTGATGCTGTCATGGTCACCGTTGGTGGTGACGCTGTCATTGTCACCGGTGACGGTGTCCCCCGCACGCTCACGCGCCCTGCCCGCAGTGGCGCAGGACGCCGTCCCCTCCGGCGCGCTGCTCGTGGGGCTCTGCGGCGCCGCCGCCGCGCTCGGCGCCGTCCTTGGGACACCCGGACGCCGGGGCCCCTCCGCCCCCCGTCGTCACCCCCACCCAACAGCCCCCCTTTCACCCCCAGATTGAGCACCGGGGACGGAGCCGCCGCGGGACCCCGCGCGCGCCCGGCGCCTTCTCCCCCATTAAAGGACCTGGTGGAGCCGCCGTCTCCCTGTCCGTCTGTTCCCAGGAGGGCGCGGGCGGGGAGGCCCCGGCGGGGGCTTCGCTGCTGTCTCGTATCAGGGTTGAGCCTGGCGGGAATCCTTTGGGAACGGCCCCCGGGAGGGCAGGAGGGAGCTGGAAGTTGGGGATGAAGATCCTGGTTCCTGCTCAGGCAGGATCCTGGGTCTAGGCCTGGTCTTGATCCTGGTCCTGGTCCTGGGCTCAGATTCGATCTTGAAGCTGATCCTGGGTCTTGATCCTGGTTCTGGTCAAAGGCCCAGATCTGGTCTTAAAGCTGGTCCCGGGTCTTGATCCTGGTTCTGGTCCTGGTTTTGGTCCTAATCCTGGTTTCAGTCCTGGTTCTGGTCCCTATCTCGATCCTTGGTTCTGGTCCCTATCTCGATCCTTGACTCAGTCTGGATCCGATTTTGGTCCTGGTCTTGATCCTGGCTCTGGACTCACCTTGAAGCTTTTCCTGTGCCAGTCCTGGCATGGATCCAGATTCAGATTCAAGTCCTGGTCTTAATCCAGTTTGTGGACTCCCCTGGTCCTGGTTTTGATCCTGATTCTGGTCCCAACCTTGATCCAGGTCCCGTTCTTGGTCCTGGTTCTGGTCCTGGTCTGGATCCTGGTTCCAGACCCATCTTGATCCTTTTGCTGCCCAAGTCCTAGTTCTGCTCCTGATCCGCATCCAGATTCCAGTCCTGGTCTTAATCCGGGTTCCTGATTTCAATCCCGGTCTTGGTTTCAATCCCGGTTCTGGTTTCGATTCCAGTCCAGCCCCATCCTGGATCCTGCTCCAGCTCCTGGTCTCCACCCTGGTTCTGCTCCAGATCCCAGTTCCGATCCCGGATCCGGATCCCAGACTCCATCCAGCTCCTGGGCTTGATCCCAATCCAGCCCTGGGACTAAATCCGGAACCGGGACCGGACCCAAAACGTG